GAGCGCTGTGTGGGTTCGTCAAACAGAGGGGTAAACTGAGGCGGCCCTGCAGCCCCCTGGGCTGGGCGTCCACAGTCCGCCGCTCCCGTCGGCGTGACCTTGAGGAAGTCCCCCTGCTCCCATTCCTGGGTCTCCACATGGCCCATAGAGGGTGAAGCCGGCCCACAGTCTTCTGCGCCAAGGCCTGTGACCTTGGCAAGGGTGGCCGAAGTTTAGTCCCAGACTAACCTCCCGGGAGGGGGAGGGACCGTAGTTCAAAGTGTAACAAAGAAGCTGGCTGTGTGCAGCCTGCAGCCTGGGCCAGCACCCATGGACTGACTAGCCTCACTGAGCGCTTCTGCCCCTTCCCAGCTCAGAACACTGAGGGAAGAGGCCCCTGGTCCAGAGGCTGTGGAAGAGCAGAAAGGGTGGCCCAGCAGGTGGAATGGAACTGAGGCTTCAAGTTCTAAACAGGCCCCAAGGTCTTCCCTGTGGGGATCCTGTGTGCCCGTAGGGCAGTGGGAGATAGCAAAACATTCTGGAAAGAGGTGTGAGCCTTGCGCTGCCTTGCTCTTGCTGTGTGAGCATGGGCAATGTGTGGCCTCTCTGTGCCTTAGTGCTCCTGCTGGTAGAATGGTCTTTCCTGCACCTCCTTCATGGGGCTATGTGAGACTCTGGGAGGAGGGATGGTGGGTTTGAGGGGCTCCTTCAAGAATGAACAGGGTTTTAGTGGATCTGTGGGTCCCCAGAACGTGGGTGTGGGCAGGCAGGGGTCCCTGGGGCTTGGGAGGGAAGGCAAGGGCTAGAGAGTGGCCATGGCCTCAGGAAGCACGCATGGCCTCGCCACTGTGACAAACAGAGGCAGGCAGGGCAGGGCCCTGAGCAGGACACATCTGAGCTTGTGCTACGTGTCTCTGGCCAGCCCCTCTCCTCTCTGGGGCTCAGTTTCAGCATCTGCACATGTACTGAGGGGAGGCCGTGCTGCCTGGCTCCAGCAGGAAGGGAAGGGCTCCCCCTGCTTCCTCCCCAGAGCCCAGCCTTCCTCCCCAGAGCCCAGACTTCCTGTTCAGCCACATCTAGGGGAACTGGACGGCTGACTGAGCCTTGGGCGGGGGACCAGTCTTCTCCGACTCACTGGGAGACCTCACAGGATCCCGAGCCCAGTTTTACTATCTGCCAAGTGGGGCAAGACTTGCTCAGCCTCTTTTTCAACTCGTCTGTGGCTTGGGGTGAGGTAGGGCCTCTGCACCTGCCCTTAGTCCCCTGAAACACAGCCGAGGGCCCCTGCCCAGTCCCACCACTATGTGTACACACCTACCTGTACCACTCCCACACCCACTCCACACACACATAATCCCACAGTCAGGGAATGTGGCGGTGTGTACACACACCTGTGCCACATGGACCCATCTACTATGGGATTCTTTGGCAGGGCTTCCATGTTGCACAACTCTATTGGTGGCCTGTTCATGGGCACACATGTACAGATCATGTGCCCATCCACAGGGACACAGACTTACATACTGCTCCAGAGAACACGCTCATCTGTGTTGACGGTGCTTGTGCTTCTGGAGACACTGAGACTCGCACCTAGACACAGACGAAGTCACGTGCAGAATGCACATGCACTCCATTTACGCCACTGCCTTAGCACACAAGCGCATGCTCGTGCACAGAGCTATTTTGGGCAGGGCCTGGGGCCAACAAGGTCAGGGACAGCCAGTTCCCAGCAGGCCCCAGCCTGTCCAGCTCCCACCCCCACCTCAGGCTGAGTCCCTAATGCCCTGGATCCCAGCCTAGCTTTGTGACTGGCAGATCCCCACTCCTTACCCCCAGCTTTCCCAGAGCTAAAACTCGAGCTTCAGGGTGTCAGCCTCTAGGAGGGAGCTGTCCATGGAGTCCCCTGGCCACTGCCCACTGCCTTGCCCATAGCTTCCAATCCAGGGCCCCTGGAGGCTGGACTGGCCCTAGTCCCTACAGGAAACCCACAGGAACTAAAAATAGTACAGGAGAAACAAACAGGGTTCCGCAGGCCAGCATTCATGCCACCATGCATGCAGGGGACACTATCTTCCAGGGAGCCAGGCTGGGGAGCTGGTGGATCCTGAGCCGCCCCACCACCGATCTGTACCTCCTTCACTGAGCTATGTGAGACTCTGGGAGGAGTGATGTGGCCAACTGAACGTGAGGTGCAGGGGGATGTGGAGGCCTCCTCAGATGCAGAAACAGTACTGGACGGTGGGCAGTGCCCTGGGTTACAGGCAGAAGGCTGAGTTGGAAGCCCCAGTTCCTGTGTGACCTTAGGCAGTGCACAACCCCTCTCTGGGCTTCAATTCCTCGTGTGTAAACGGGAGAGGAAGAGTCACACTAAATGCTGAAAAACTCGCAAAGATGGAAAAGACTTTAGTTTTCAGGATGTCCGTCTCAGCATGCTGTCTAGCATTAGAGAAGTGGAAACAACCCAAATGTTCGACAATAGGGCACTGATTGAACATGGTATTGTTAGGTTTTTATACAATGTAATATTATTCAGCCTTTAACAACAATGACAACAATAATCATCACGACTAGCATTTAATGAAGGCTTATAATGTGCAGGGGCATGATACTGTACTACATCTATTTGATAGATGAGGGATCGAAGCTCAGAGAGGTTAAGTACCCTGCCTGAGGCTTCACAGCCATCGGTACAATCATGTCCCAGAAGTCTTAGTGCAGTTTTAAGCTTTAGTAACTTCACAAGTTATGAAGTATAAAGCTACAAATTTATAAGAAACATAATTTGAAGTTTAATTATTTAAATTTTCTTGATGTCAATTTAGTTTTGTGAATTTTGAATGACTTTTAAATTCTTTTCAGTCAACATTTGCCCTCTTCAGATGGCAAAAAAGAAATTTAAATGAACTTTCAAGTGGTGTTTCTTATAAATTTGTAGCTTTATACTTCTGAGGTTATTAAAGTTTAAAACTGCACTAAGACTGTCAGGACACCCTGTCATTTTAAGTCTGAGTCAGTTTGACTTCAAAGCCTGTGTGGTAACATTTGACATGAGGTAGGGGCTGGGAGGGGTGCACTGAGGGTGCTTGTTTTGGGTAAAAAGTTCTGGATACAAAGGCATATGAGAAAGGGTGTATGGTGAGATCTCACCTGTGTTTAAGAGTCTGCAAAGTAGAACCCACATAGAGCAGTGACATCTCAGGGGACAATGGAGACATACCTGACTATTTCCTTTCAGGTTTTTTCACTAGGCTTGCCCTACCTCTTGATAGATGGAAAAGACAATGAACTTTACAGAAAACAATGCCCCCCTCTCCTGGGCTGAGCCACAAGTGGGAGCCCTGTGAGCTGCAGAGGGCTGCTTGTCCCACTCAGGCAAGCCAGTGCCCCACATTCATGTCACCCTCACATCAGTCTGCTGGGAGTCCCACCTGCCCCATTCTATAGATGAGGGAACAAAGAGAGGGGTAATGGTTTGTCCAACGCTCATGGCAGGCTCACTAATCTCCAACCTGTCCAGCCTCTCTGACCCCATGTCCTGAGAGTGACCCCCCGGGCTGGTCAGTGTGGCTTTGCCTAGCCTGGCCTATGACAGATGGCATGAGGAAGTGGGGGGTGGAGAGCTGCAGCAAGTGATTTGGACTCTGGTGGCACTTCTGTTTGCCTGGCCAGTGCATGCCTGGGAAGGACAGGGTGGCCCAGCCCACTCAGTCCCCAGATGTTGCCACCCATCATCGAGGGTCTCCTCAATGGGTCCCCTAGGCCAGCCATCCTTTGCCAGATGCTCTCCCATTTTCCTGCCTGCCCTGTCATCTCCAGGCCCTGATGCTTGCAGGTGTCTGCAGCTGGCCCATTGCTCCCACTGCAGCCTGCCTTGGTCCTTGTCCATTTATGGCAGGAGCCCCACAAAGCTCTTGACCCACAGGGTCCCCGGTTCTGAAAGCAGGCCTTGCCAAGGGGAACTAGGCCACCCCAGCCTAGGCAGGTCTCCACTGGTGCTCTCGGTGAGGAGAGTGCAGGGGTCCAGCACTTGGGCTGCTTCTCCTAGCACTCAGGAGGCCAGAGATAGGTAATAAAGCAAGGAAGGAAAGGAGAGAGGAGGGCGGGTAGACCAGAGGAGAGTCCTCCCCTCCAGGCCTCATACTCCTATTCCCAAGTGTTCAGCTCCGCCCCCAAGTCTCCACAGCTCCCCAGGACTTCTCTCCATCCCTGGGGTGTCAAGGCTCACCTTGGCGTCAGGACCAGAGTGCAGTGTGGGCCAACTTCAGTGTGAGGTTGGGGTCTTGGTTTAGACTGAAGCCAGAGTCAGGGCTCAGGCTAGGGCAGAGGTTGAGGTAGCCAGGGTCAGAAAATTGTCCTCCAGCCCTTCCAGGGGCAGCCAATCTTCTCCTGTGGGGCAGAAGATGCTGGCTCCTTCAGGAACCTTCTGTAGCATTGGCAGCTGGTGGCTCTGACCATACCATTCCCTGTTCCCCATCCCCCTCTCCAGCTCTGGTGTCCAGGGTGACCAGAGCTGCCTCTGGGCAGGAAGCCAGGCCAGAAAGCCCAGGACATCCCTGAGCGCCTGTTACCATGGCAACCTGCCCACTGTGCCCCCCCATACCCAAGTCCAGTACATTTCTCAAATTCAGCACGTCAGAGTGGGAAGGGCCTTCTAGATCAGCAGATTCCAGCCCCTCCCCTTGTCCCAGTTGGAGAAACTGAGGCCCCAGTGGGGAAGGGAGGGGGACCTGCTGATTAAGGACCCGATCCCAACCTGTCTTCCCTCCCAACCTCCCCCTGGGATGGGGGATGGGGAGGCTGGAGTCTGATCTCCCAGGAGGGGGCGGGCCCTCCACCCACAGAGATGGGGGCGGGCGGCACAGGAACCTGACACCGACGATGAATAAATGATGCCCCCTCTCGCTGCTGGCGACCAGAGCTCTCCACCGCCACCGAGCGCCGGCTGGCCAGGGGGCTGCGTCCGGCGGCCCAGCCCGCCCGTCCATCACTCGGCTCCCGAGAGCAGGCGCAGCGGGCGGAAGATGGCAGGGCAGCGGCGAGGCGCGGGGCCCCTCTGGGCACTGGGCGGCGCCGCGCTGGGGGTCTACCTCGCCGGGGTCGCCGGGCAGCTGGTGGAGGTGAGGCGGCGCGGAGAGGGTAGGGGTGGCTGTCTCTTTCTGTCCAGGCAGAGTGTTGGGGACGCGCCCTTCTGATCGGGAGCTGGCATTATCCCTTCCTCTTGCCCTAGGAGACCCAGTGTAGTGGGATGATACAGCCTTGCCCCAAGCGCTGCCAGGCTGTGGGGAGACTCAGCCCCCACTCTTAGGGTCTGAGGGGAGAGCACAGCCCCTGACTTCTGGAACATTGGTCTGATGGGAGAAACTCACCCTGATCTTAGGGATTCCCAATCTGACTGGGGACACAGTCCTGCCGAGCCTGATGGGGACATTCAGCCCCTATCCTCCAGTCTTCGGTCCCATTGTGGAGGGCAAGGGGTGCATAGCCCTTGGTTTCCTTGACCTCTAGTTTGATGGGCGAGATCTAAACCCTGAACTTAGGGTCTTCTGGAGGAAACAGCCTCTGCTCCAGAGATCCTCCAGGGCTCCCTGTCTAATGGAGGAGACACGGCCTTGGGAAGGAGGTGAGGGCATTCCAAGTTGGAGGGTGGGGGCAGCAGGATGAGGAGACCCTTTACGGAGCAGCCGTGTGGAGCATGGCTCCAGGAAGGGAAGGGCTGGCAGGGCAGGACCCAGGGACTGGGGGGGATGGGGATCTGACTTGATCCTGGTGGTAACAGGGAGCTATATAAGGTTTCTGAGCAGGGGTGAGCCATGATGAGTTCTGGTTTAGAAGAAGGAGCTTCTGAGATAGCCCAGAAAGAGGTGAAGAGGATGGCTGGGGTGGTGGGACAGGGCCTGGCTGGGGCCAGGAAAGGCTGGGAGGGGAGAGGTGGGGGCCATGTGCAGCCTCCCTGCCCCTTGCACCCCACTCCTGCTGAGCCTGGAAGGGGAGCCACAGAGGGAGAGGGCAGACCAGACGTGGAATTCTGGAAGCTAGAAGGAGAAGGCCAGAGCCATGGCCAGGGCCAGGGTGAAGTGGGGGATGGAGCCTGCGCAGGCAGGGGCAAAGTGGAGGGAGCAGGAAACAGAAATGCAGGAGGCAACCAAAAGCACCCAGGGAGACCCGAGGGGTAGGTGCTAGGGGACAGGGTGGGATAGGAAGGACAGAGCCCTAAACTGAAGGGTCTAAGGGGGACATAGGGACAGAGCCCTACACTCCAGTGTAGCCTCATGCTGCTGACCAGGGGGTGTGACCAGGAGGCTGGACTGGAGTTAGGTGTCAGCTCCAGTGTCCCTGTAAGGGGAGCCAGGCTGGCTTGAGCCCCATGGGGTGTACTGGCACCCCTCACTGGCTGCCCCGAGGCAGCGGGTGCAGAAACTGAGCTGGCCTGGGTGCAGGCAGAAGGCTGGGGGTGGGGATCAAGTCAGTTCTGAGCCAAGGACTCTCCGCCCCCACCCCCAGGACCCCATCTCTCCCAGCGCACTGCATTTGGAGTCTGTCTGCCTGCCCTCTGCCTACAGCCTGAGCAAGGCTCTAGCCCTTCAGGAAGCCCTGGAGACATGCGCAGGGCTGGGGTCCAGGTCACCACCCACCCCAACCCTGCAGGCATCACAATTACCCTCTGAAGGAGGTGGGGGCCTCCATGCTTCAGAATTCAGGCCCCAGTAGGGCCCACCATGAGGAGATGGCTACTACCTGCTACCGTCCACCCAACACCCCTGTCAGGAATAGAGTGGGCCCCGCTCCACCCACATCAAGCCTGGAGCCAGAATGTGTAAGGAAGTGAGCACTCAGCTGCCTTGGCTCAGAATCTGGGAACTTTACTCCGGCCCTCAGAGTCTTCAGGTCATACAACCTAGCCGGCCAACACACCCCAATCTCAGGGATTCCCTTAGACTTCGGGAATTCTGCCACCGCCATGACCCTAATGCCATGGACATGTGCCTGACCACATGCACATGTGCTCCAACCACACTGTGCCCGACCCCACATGTGTTCCCCAACCCATTGTACATGTGTCTTGACCCCACACATACATCCAGGGGACGAAGCTGAGGACCGTGTCTTCTTGTCAATTTTCCCATCACGTTGGGTACAAAGAGCTCCTGAGCGGTTCCTGGACCTACCCCACTCCAATTACAGACAGAGAAATTGAGGTCCAAAGGGAAGAAGGATCCCACCCTAGTTCACCCTGGTGAGGGGGCAAAGAGCCGGGGAATTATCTACCAATGCCAGGCCCACAGATCCTGGGACAGGGGGCTGACTCTCTGAGTGTCTCCAACCCATGCCAAAGCATGGTGCTCATTAGAGGAAGAAGCACCTGGCTCATGATAGGTGCCCAGTCCATATGTACGGACTGTGGAGGAAAATGGGTGGACGGTGGAGCTATAGGTGATCTCTCTTTCCCAGAGAGCTAGAAGGGACTCCTCATGCCTGTCCTTATTTGGTTAATTAGGGGACAATGTCTTGCACAGATGTCCCAGGGTCCTCTCTCCCTCTGAGCACTGACCCTGGTCCTTGCCTCTCAGCCAAACTTAGTGACAGAGATAGGATCATATCCCTCTCTGGTCACAGAGAGGTCTTGCTCAGATTCCATGGGGCGGGGCCCTATTCCCTAGATATCCAGGACAGGGCCATATCCCCTCAGACCTGGGACAGTGCTGTGTCCCTTAGACACTCAGGGTAGGGCCATGTTTTCTAGACACCCAGAGCAGAGCCATGTCCCCTCAGACCTAGAGCAGCACGGTGTGCCCTAAACCCTGGGGCAGAGCCATGTCCTCTAGACACTGGGGCAGGGTTGTGTTCCCTCAGTCCCCCAGGGCAGGGTAATGTCCTGCAGGGAAAGTGGGAGGTGGTTGGCTGTGGTCTGCTCAGGCTTGCTGCAACCACACTTATACCTTTTGGCCTCCAGGTGTCGCTGCTGCATCGCAGACAATTTATTTGTCTCGTCCTGTCCTGTGAGCACCCTGGTCTGGCCTCCCAGTAGGGGGTCTGGCCAGGTGGCAGAGCTATGGGGCCCTGACTCCCAGCTTCACCCCCCACCCCCCACTGGGGAGACAACAGAGCAAAGCACCAGCGCAGCACAGACCTCACTTTGTCTCTGGCCTTGGTCCTGAGACCCCGTCAGCCTGAGTGGGGCCTGGGACTGGAGTGGGAGGTGTCCAAAGGGACCTTGAACCTGGCTGGGACAGGCTGCCCACGTTTGCTTCTCCAGGCCTTGGTTTCCCCAAGCATCAACCACCCTCCCACTTCAAGTCCCTGGCTCTGTGGTCTGGGGCTCTTCTCAGTTCTGCTCTAAATCTGGAACTTCCCAAGATCTAGGGTGTTGTCATTGAATGTCTAAGACAGCTTTTGGGAGACTCTGAAGTGTTTGGGCTGGGCCTCTCTTGGCCCGGTCCCGGCCTGCTGGCCTCTGCCGGGCTCACTCCCTCTCTCCTGACCCACAGCCCAGCACGGCCCCGCCCAAGCCCAAGCCGCCCCCGCTGACCAAGGAGACGGTGGTATTCTGGGACATGCGCCTGTGGCACGTGGTGGGCATCTTTTCGCTCTTCGTGTTGTCCATCAGTGAGTAGCTGCTCCCTGCTCCCTCTGCCACACCGCAGTGGGAGCACAGCACACCCAGCACCCCCCCGCCCCCGCCAGCACCATCCCTGCAGGCTCAGAGCAGCAATTCCCGGCAGTGCAAGCAGGCCAGGCGCCCACAGCAGGCCTGCCATGGTTTCTGGCACCTCCTGATCCACACAAAGTCCCCAAGGAGGGCTGACAGGCCAGTGGTGACCCGAAGTATTCTGCTGGCCTCAGAGAGGCAGCCACATGGCAATTATGGTAATTACAGGGGCTCCACTGAACGAGGACAAGGACGGAGACGTGTCACTTTTCCCATGGCTGGCCTCCTGATGCTTTTCCTGCAGTTTGGTCAGCTGGAAGTCCCCACACCCAGGGGCCCCAGCAAGGCCACCCTCCACCAGAAGCTCCCCAGACGCCCAGCAGATGTGGCTCCCAGGCTTCGATCCCAGGCTTCGATCCCTGCCTCGTAAGATACCATTTTCCCAGAATGACTCACATTTGCCTCAATTAAAAGCAGGAGATCTACTCTTCTCCTGGGGTCTGGGAGCTTCTTGATGCAAAGTCGCAGCAGAAACAGGTTTGGCCTGCTCCCCTTAGCCCTCCTCCTGGAATGGGGTCTGGAGTTGGGGAAGGGGGCAGAAAGGCACATGAAATGTGGCCAGGTGGGGGAGGCTGCCACGGCCCAAGGCAGGGTGTGACAGAGGCTCCCACAGGCACATGCGGGGATGCGGGCAGTACAGGGAGAAGCAGTCCTCTCCCCTGCAAAGGCGACATAGAAGATGGTCCTCTGACTGGAGGGAGGACCAGTGGGGTTTTGCCAGGTGGGAAGGCTGGAAAGGCATTCCAGGCAGGGGGGAGGGTGTAAGCAGAGGCTGGGAGGAAGCATGGCCTCCACACAGTCTCAGACGAGCTCTGCTGGACATTTACTGAGTGCACCCTGGGTGGGGAGGCTAAAGCTACACTGATGTTCTAGCTGGAGCTGTCACAGGATGAGGTCCCTGGAGGGCTGGGTGGCCCACAGAGGGCCCATCCAAATGTGAGGGGCTCGAAGGAAGACATGACATCTGATTTGCATGTGCTTCTCCTGGCACTAGAAGTGCCCTCCCAAGAGAATATATCCGCCCTGCACACCCTGCCCCCCATCTGAGCAAGAGGCTGTCTTTTGTTCCCAGCTGAGGCCAAGAACCAGTCAGGCATCTTAGTGGAGACTTGTCTTGTGTCTTGTGGGGCCTCAAGACACACAACGGCCTCTCTCACGCTCTGCTTGGCCCCAGATGGTGGAGGTGCCTGGGGCCACACAAGAAAGTTGCACAGTGTCAGAACCAGAGGCACCTGGACATCAACCAGACAGACCACCCTCTAACCCCATTTCCTAGAAAGGTACAGGATAGTCCCACAGGCCCCTGAGCAGCAGGTCAGCACTTGTTACCTTCCATGGCACAGCACTAGGTAGTGGGGATAATGCAACCCTATCTCTAGAGAAGGAAACATCTTTCCTGCTTCCCAGTCTGCCTGGACCTAGGTAGTACAGCTGTTAGCCAACTATCACCCCTAGAACCCTCAGGGAAGGGGCTGGGGCTGGATGGGATACCTCTGGAGTTCTTGGGGACTTGTGTCCCAAGCCTATCCCTGGGCCCTGGGACTTGATCCAAAGCACTTTGTTCCTTCCCTTCTTTGAAGAAAAGCAATCAGGCCAGGCAGGGTGGGGCAGGCCTGGAGTGAGGGGCAGTGCTTGTGCCCTGCTCTGGCTGCCAACAGCTGCCTGATGAGCTCCCTGTGAAGTCTCAGCTTCCCAGGGCCTGGGACCTGCCTGCATGGAGCCTGCGGGGGCATGGTCCCAAGGAGGTGCCTAGTGAGGTAACTAGAAGAGGTGGCCCAAGCTGGGAGGGTCAGGGTAGAGGACCAACGTTGGGTCTCAGGTGTGTGCACAAGGGTCTGGAGAAGCCCAGGACCCAGCTCTTTGGATAAGAAAGGCCTGCTGTCTGCTCCGGTCTACCCCAAGAGAGAGGTGTACAGTCGGACCTACTGCGGGAGCCCTCGTGCAGCACCCCCTCCCAGTGTGTGCTTGGATGCTGTTGGCTCCCCAGTCCATTCATGCAGGAGTCTAGTCATGTTCCAGCAGCAAGGGCTTGGAGGCCATCCCATTCACCCAGTCATTTTTCTTTCCTTTGGTGAATTTGAGTGAGACAAAGGGGGACCACTATATTTGGCTAAAGGGACACTGCCTTGGTTGCACAAAATGACCCCAGAGGGTGCTCCAGCCCAGGCTACATAGATCTGATGGCATCTTCCCCAAAATAGGCCTGGCTTGTCCTGCCTGGGCCCGCCTGCCCCCAGGAGTCTGCCAGGAAGTTATGTCTGGTCATCTGATTTATAATAGGAACCAGCTCCATCCCCTCCCCTGGGGCTAGGGCCAAGGTGGTCAGACTGTGGGGGCCTTAGAAAAATAAACTCAGTCCAGTCAGGTCCTGGAAGCCCTGACCTGCCCTGCCCATCACTGACAGGCCAGTTCCATGCCCCAGCCCAACTGGTGTGGGGGCAGCTGCTGGAAAACCACTCCTGGAATAACTCCGTCTGAGATGAACACACCATAGGTCTGTACCCTCTTGCCAGCTCCCTCCCCAGCCCAGAGGAGTCCAGGCTTGTCCTGGGAAGGACACAGCTATGTCCTCTGAAGTCTGAGGCAGCTCTGGCCCTGCTCTCAGGAGCCTGGGAGGAAAAACTAGGTTACACTAGAAGCAACCCAGAAGCCTAGGTTGGATGGCAGGATGGCCTTTAGGGAGCTTGAATCACAATGCAGCCCTCTGCCTTACCCTCCAGCAACTCTGAAGCTAGTCGGAAAGACCCTCAGGACCAGGACCGGCTACATAATTTACAGAGCCCATGCAAAATCAAAGTACAAGGCTCCTTGTTCAAAGTTATTGAGAACTTGACAGCAGAGCATTAAACCAGGCACGGGGCCCCGTGAACACAGGGCCCTGTGCAACTGCATGAAGTCAGGCCTGCTCAGGAAAGCCACTGTAGCAGCCCCAGGGTCCCCATGGGTTTTGTCAAGACGCTGGGCCTCCTGCCAGTCTCTTGGGTGAGACGCTTACAGGTGGATGGAGGCAGGCCTAAAGTTTGGTTGCCATTCCTGGGGTGTCTGAGGCTGAGCCCTGGCCAAACCTGTCTTCCCTACAGTCATCACCCTGTGCTGTGTCTTCAACTGCCGTGTGCCACGGACCCGGAAGGAGATCGAAGCCCGGTACCTGCAGCGAAAGGCAGCCAAGATGTACACAGACAAGCTAGAGACTGTGCCACCCCTCAATGAGCTCACAGAAATCCCTGGAGGTGAGTAGGCCCTGGCCCCAGCACCAGCCGCTGTCCGAGCCTACCGAGCCAGCCAGGTCCCCAGTCCTCCTGCCTGTAGTCTCCCTGCTCCTCCCCTTCTCCCCTCCTCCCCTCCACTATGATGGAGTGACAGCAGGTTTCAGGGGGGGGGGGCACCCAGCCCTGTCCCAGGAGACCAGAGCACAGAAACCGGTGAGAGTAGAGTGATGCAAGCAGACCAACGAGCCTATTCTCCAGCAGGAGAGGTCTGGAAAGAAGAAGGAAGTAAAGGGCAGGATGTGGAAGGTTCTGGGGCCCTCTCCTTCGAGACCACTGAGCCCCAGCATCTTGCCTCACCACTACCGCGTGCCTCTTTCCCCTACCTCACAGAGAATAAAAAGAAGAAGAAGGACAGCGTGGACACAGTGGCCATCAAGGTAGAAGAGGATGAGAAGAATGAGGCCAAGAAGAAGAAAGGAGAGAAATGAGGAGAGCATCCTGGAGGTGGCCGCAGGGGCTGGTGGGCCCTGGAGCTCCAGATCTGGCCAGGGTCCAGGCGTCCTGGACTCTGAGCTCATATGCAGACCACAGAGGCTGTGGGCAGAGGCAGGGGGAGGCCCATGGCCACATCCTCACGGCCCATCAGGTGCAGGACAAGACCACACTGGGTGTCTGGCCTCCCAGCCCAGACTCGGTTCCTTTCACCCCATCCACATGGGCCCTTTCCTCAGCAAAGCTGGTCTTAGGCCCCTGTCCCTCTGCAGATGCAGAGTGGTCTCACACTGCTCTCCCCACACAGACGTGCCTCCATGCCACCTTTCCTGCCAGGGGCAGCAGGGGCTGGTAGTTATGGGATGTGGGCTTCCCTTCTGGCAGAGATGGCTGAACTGCATGGGATGGGGTGTGAGGCCACACCCAGACTGGCCATGAGGAAGGAGAGAGGGTTGCTGGGGGAAGTTGTGGCAAGAGGGACTCCAGCTAAGGCAGGTGGCAGCTCTGATGGTGAGGAGACTGCCCCAAGCCTGGCAGGAGTTCCAGCCCAAGGGAGTGAGCAGAGGTGGCCCTGGAAGCAGAAACACAGCCCTGCAGACACCAAGCTCAAGGCAATGGGACCCCCTCTTTTACACGTCCTGATGCAGCTGAGGCTGCTGGGAGGCCCGCATGAGGCCCAGGGGCTTGGGCTCCAGGCTGGGGGCAGAAGGGGTGGGCCAGAGGGAGCAGGGAAGAAAGCTGGGGCCTGGGCCCCCTCTTGGAAATCAGGGAATATCTGAGAAGCCAAGGGTGACCTCAGACTATTCTGGTGGCCCAGCTGTGGTGGGAGGTTTCATGCCCCAGGGGATCAGGGCAGGGGGCACAACTGGCCTTCCACCACCTGAAAATAACAGCACCCAGCTTCCCCGCAGCTTCCTCTTCTACCATTTCCCACTAGGGGCGCCTAAAAGCAGCATCTCTGACCAGAAGACAAAGGACCAAACACCACCTGGTGGAGGGTGGAAGCTACACAGAGGTGCTCCCGGGTGGCACCGAACATCAGATTGAGGCCCTCAGACCTGGGCCTGAAGACTAAGGAGACGCCAGAGGTTTCCAGACGCCAGAGGTTTCCGAGCCAGGGAGCCTGCTGCAAAAACAGCCCGCAGAGATTTGTAAATAAAGCCCAGTGCCTTCTCAGACCCAAGCATAGAAAATCGCCTCCTGTGATGACCCCTTGGGGTGCTCTGCCCCTAGAGCATTTATGTGGGGAGTGGAGCAGCAGTCAGTGACAGGTGGCTCAGGCCAGGCTGAGGTTCCCTCCCTGACTCTTTTCCACCTGAGTTAGGATGAGATAGAGGAGAAATGGTGGCCAAGAGGCTGAGGGGCAGCTGCAGCCCCCGGGGCCCACCAAGGCAGGCATGGCGGGGGGTAAGCTGCCTGCTCTCCAGGTGCTGGGATGACAAGGCCGCTCTCAACGCTCCCTTACTTGGCCCCATGGCTCTCAACAGACCTTTGATTGTCTGAGCTCAGTGCTGGGGACACAGAAGAGTCGACCCTGCTCCTGACCTGGACCCGGATCATCACTACACAAGAAGGGGAGTGATGCAGGCTGATGTGAGGAAAGCGCGTCACATGGGATCTTAGGAGCAGTGGGAGGCAGAGATTGCAGAAGGCCCTGCCATGGAGGCTGAGTACTCTGCACCAGGTGGGAGCAGCCAGCTACCCTCTGCCCTAGGGGGTCCAGCCTATGGGCTTCCCATATCTAGGGTTGACAAAGATCATTCTACCAGACAGGTCAGAAGCTTCTGTGTGGCCAGGCAGCAGGAGTCCAGAGGGGCAGGGACCACTCCAGGTCACAGAGAGCGGCAGTTGGGGAAGACTGGGAGAAGTCCAGGCCTGGGTTCCATCTGCCCTCCCTCTGACATGGGGCCTCCACCAGCCCTTTATGGGCAGGCACAGCTGCTGATGGCAGGGTTGTGTCTGATCCCAGTGGGCACCTGTCCCAGTCTCCAGGAAGGGGACAGGGTTAGAGGGTCAAAGTTCACTATGGTTCTTTGGGGCAATGAAAGGGTGTATTCCAGCCTCTGGTCAGAAGGCAGCCAAGGTCAAGGAGAGCCTGATTCCCACCAAAGTACCACAGAAAGAACACACTCACCTTCCATCCCAGACAGAGCTGCACCCTTATCCCAGCCTCAAGCTGTTTCCTGGCAGCCCCAGCTTTGGCCTGGGCAGTATGTTCTAGGCTCTCCATCATCTGACCCCTCCATCATCTGACCCCTTCACACTTCATCCACCTGCTGCAGGAGCCACCCCAAACCTTTGGATGGAGGCAGATCCTGGGGACTTTGCACTTGTCAGTATAAACTGCCCAGAATTCCCCACTCCATCCCCTTGTTCACCTGTCTACCACTAGAGCAGGCCCAGAAAGTGAGGGGTCTCCAAGGCCCAGGAAAAAGGAGGCACAGGAAAGAGAAGTGTTTAATTGAGCACCTGGTCTCTGCCCTGCCTTGCAGGGCTATGAGAGCTGCACCTGCAGCATCCTGAGCACAAGGGCAAGGGGGCCTGGGTGAGGGAGGACACACCAGGGAAGGGGCACAGAGTGTCAGAGAGCAGCAAGGAGGCTGAGGGGCAGTGGTAGCGCCAGGAGCAGGGCCCTGGATGGGGCCAGCATGGCCAGGGGCTGCCCGTTGAGACGGTCCCAGATCCAGTGTTGATAGGAGGAGATGTACAGGTAGATGGGCGGGGCCTGGCTCTTCTTGCAGCCTGCGCCCCAGCTGACCATTCCCACCAGGTACCACGTGCCCTCCATGGAGCAGACCAAAGGCTCCCCAGATACCTCCTGTGGGGAAGGGGGAGTAAAATGGGTCAGGGAAGCCAGGCGAGGCCTGAGGAAGGTGTGACCCAGAAAGGGACAAGCAGACTGCCCTCACACAGGTCCTCCACAGTCCCCCCGCAGTGTTGACACAGGTGAGAGGCGCTCTGGACCCAGATCTTTCTCAAAGGGCTTCATCTCCCCTCTTTAGCACACACCCTCCATCTCTCCCCAGCCCCCCATACCTCCAACCTCCATGCCCGCTCCTGACCCCTGCCTCTCTCGTCCCATCCTCTACCCCATGCCCCTCGCCCATATCCGACGGTCCCCTCCCTCCATTCCCTGCCCCACCCTGCACCCCTCAGGTCCCTCTCCACGCCCCTCCCCACCTTGGCCAGCTGCCCTCAGAGGTGAGTGCGCTGGGAGGTGTGCTTACATAGCAGAACTCTTCCCTGCTGACGTCCTTTGCACAAATCATCTTGGAGGTGATGATCTGAACCAGGGAAGGGATTTTGGAGAACCTGTGGTAGAAGTCGTCACACTCCTTGCTGTTCAGGATGGTGACCTCCTTCTCCTGAATGGTCCGGAACTGGGGCCACACGCCTGTGGGACAGCGCCCCATTCAGGTGCCACCAGCCTCGTCCCCATCCTCTCTCTGCTCTTCCCCACTTCCTGAGCCTCCTCTACTTGCCACACAGTGGCCATGGAGATCTCTCCCGGCACACGCCCCATTCTAGCTGGAACCCCTCAAGGGCCCTTGATACAGAGACCCCAGAGCAGGCTGCCCTCATGATCTGGCCTTGCTGGACCTGCTCTTGCTTTCTGCAAAGCCCAATCCACCGAGTCCTCTTAGCATCTCCTCTGTCCTCATCTCAGCATCTTGGCTTTGCCATTCCTTCCATCCCAAATGCCTGTCAAGCCTTTCAGTCTAAATCCCTCCTGTTGGTCAAGCCCTCCCCCACTGAGCTTTCCCAGCCCCCTCCACAGATCCCAGGCACTGATTCCTCTTCTCCCCTCCCCCACCAGTGTGTCTGTGTCCTTGGCCTGAGCTCCCAGCAGGTAGGAGACTTCAGGCTGTTCCCAGCCGTTCCCCAGACAGGCCATGGCAGGGTTGACAAAGTCACCCCTACCTCCTCCCACGTGAGCTAAATCCGCTGTGAGCTGTTCTGGGGTAAGATGGTTCCCACAGGGAAGGGCACCTCTCTTGTGGGTCAGGGGCTCCCTGACAGGAGTGGGCATTCCTAGGCTCCGTCAGGAAATGAACCACTGGATGGGCCTGAGAGAATATGTCTGCTCTTAGAGCCTTGCTCCTAAATTGGGGTGACGAGGGACTGAGGCCCACTGAGGGAAGGAAGGAACCATGAGCAGACCCCAAGTGATTCCCGACCTCCAGGTGCAGACTGTCCCTAGCTGGCCATAAGGAGCCTTCCGGGAGCATTCTCCAGACACAGAACCCCGCTCCCCTCGCTTCGTACACTCTGCTTTGAGTTGTGGATACCCTGGGCTTGTGTGTGGACTGCGAGATACTACTCTGTGCCCTGCCTTCGAGGGAGTTCTGTTTACATGCCCTGGTCTGGCTGAGGATTCGGGGGCAATCAGGGTCCTCTGAGGCCTGAACGGCTGTGATGTGTCCACTGCTGAGACCCTCAAGAGAAAGGAGACCTCAGAGATGAGAGCCCAAAAGGAAGGTCCCAGAGGCAGTGGGCTCCCTGGGGAAGGTGCTCAGAAGCCCCTCTTATGGTGGCACCCTGGCCTGCACCCAGGCCCTCTCTCACACCACCCACCCTGGTCTGGGGAGGCTCTGACTCACCATCAGCCTTGGGAAGTCCCCAGCCCGTCACAGTGCAGAGGGAATCGTCCTTTAGCACATAGTCCAAGCCAGGCAGGCAGATGGGCCAGACATAATTGTTGTACTGGAGCATCTGCTCGAGCTTGAGGAGGCCGATGTTGTTGTCCCGGCCAACCCAGGACCAGTACCGCCGCGCCCGGTACCTGCTGTTCACAATGACCTGGAGCACTGGGACGTCGGAGGTAGTCTGCGTCACCTGGTCAATCCATGGACTCCCCACCCTCACTGAATAGAAAACATCATGCCTAGGGGAACCATGAGGGAGCCTGCAGTCAGCTCCAGGCGGCCCACCCCCGCCTCCAGCCCCTGCCTTCCTGCCCTCTGAGTAAATCCTGGCAGGCCCACCCCTGTTTCCAGCCCCCTGAGCCTACTCCTCACAACAGATGTGAACAGGGCCCTGCACTCTGTGGTCCAGTCCTCACAGCCCTTCATTTTATGGAGGAGGAAACTGAGACTCAGAGAAGCCCAGTGACCTGCTCAGGGATGCACAGCTAGGAGGCAGTAGAACTGGGATACGGACCCAGTTTGCTCTGGTTCCAAATGCTAGACTCTGTTGAGCCCTGAGAGGGAAAGAGGCCCTGTGGCGTCGGCCATGGCCTTGTTCTCTGACTGCCATTCCTGGCATTCCCCTTGAAGTCTGTGTTGGCCCTTAGGCCTGGAACATGCTTCTCCACTGGTCAGCTCTCACAGCCAGTCCCCTGGCCCCGGAACATCAGCATACCCATTCTTTGTCCCCACACCGACCAAACTCCCTTGTGAGCATCTATCTTCTCCCCTACCGAGCTGAGAGGAATGGTCCATCCCCTCTCTGCCCCCAGTGCCCAGGCCAGGGCCTGGCTCAAAGGAGTGTCAAAGACTGTTGATTGAAAAAAGGAGGGAATGAGGAAGTGGGACCAGGGCGGGTGTAATGAAAGCACTAGGACTTCCCTCCTGAGGAGAGGAGGCAAGAGGCCAGAAAAATGGCTTCTGAGCCTCCATTCCCTATCTGTGGAATGAATGCACAAGACTGAGGGCCAGGTGAGGGGAGCACAGGGTGGGAACACTCAAAAGACTGGCCTCCGGCAAGGAATTCATAAGACCCAGCCCCCACCTGCTAGGAGCCAGGGTGAGGTGGGGCTGGGATTGTGGGGTTCCAAGGAAGGCATAGCTGCTATAGCCGCTGACAGACCAGGTGGGCAGGGTGACTGGGCCTCTCCACCCGCCCCACCTGGGCCCCAACTCACTGGATCAGGCAGTGGGCCACAGTCAGCACCCACTGGGAGGCAATGATGGTGCCTGCGCAGATATGTGTGCCATTGGCCCGCACACTGACCATCCATGGCCACCGCCGAGCCATAGCCTCTGGGTACCTGAGGGTGGGGTCTGACTCGTAGGAGAAGCCACAGGCTGAGGAGGAAAGTGAGAGCTTGATAAGGGATGGGCCCTTCCCTGTACCCCACCCTCTCCACCTGACCTCCCACCTCTCCAGCCACTGGCCTGCACCCATCCAAGTGGTGCTCCTTTTCCACTTCTCACCACAGAATGATGCTGTCCACATATGGACTGGGGTCTCCAGCCTCAGGAGGGCCTCGGCACTGCCCAGGTATCTCCCTCCCTGTTCCCATAGCCCGGGCCCAAAAGCATCCCCAGCTGACCAGCCCGGTGTACCACTGGCCCCTTTGTCCTGCCCAGCACGCCCTCAGCTCCAGCCAAACCCTTCACAAACTCATCTGTGTTTCCATCTGGTTCCATCCTCACCATGCCCCCAGCTTCGGCCAAGGCAGACCCCCTCCCTCCACTGGGAACACCCTCCTGTGATTCGGTGAGAGAAAAATGGACAACCCAACAGAAAAATAGACAATGTGTATGAACAGGCATATCTCAAGGAGGAATCCCCAGCAGCAAATGACCATAGAGTTGCCCAGCCCTGTCAGTCCTCAAGGAAATGCAAACTTGCATTATAATGAGCTTCTGCTCCATATCACCTGCCTGACAAAAACTAATGTCTCTGATCCCGAGTGCTGGTGAGGATTAGCACCCCAGAATCCACCACTGGTGGGAGTGTCAATTGCTGCAGCCACCTTGGGAAGCAGTTTTTTCAATTGAAGATGCACATATCCAACACCCCAGCAGTCCTGCTCCTAGGTGTTCTCCAGATGGATTAGTAGATGGTACAATCAACATAAGTGGGCCATGATACGAAAGAGAATGTTAGCAGGCACAGCACAGAGTACTGCTAGATCCTGTCCATGAGACTTTCTGTGGCGGTTAAATGGTATGCGCGGAGTCCCAGAGTAAGTATTTCTTATGTGAGTCTCAGTTAAACATGCTTAAGCCACTGCTCAAGAGAACATCTTACACACAGGCCCCGCAGACACCACAGGAAGGTTCACACAGCCCAGTCCTGAAAGCCGTGCTGGAGAGTCCCAAGGTCTCTGGCTGGGGGCCTGGGTCAGGGGCAGGCCAAGTCAGGCCTGGAGCAGGAGGAGAAGCCGCCGGCCCCACAGCCAGCTCAGGGAGGCGGGGAAATGCTGCCCATCCAAAGCTCCTCTGACTTTCCTGCCTCCTACCTCGTCGCTGAAGGTCCATTCCTCCAGGGAGGACCAGGAACTGGCCCACAATAAGAGCTCAATTAACACTAGTAGAAGGAAGGTGTCTTTTACCCCCACTCCCCTGCCCCTTCCTCCCCTGTCCCTTCTGCCTCTGGGATCAAAGGTCTTTAAGACTCCTCAGACATCTTCCTTGCCCTATGGAGTCCATGGTACTCACAGGGGTGTAAGACGGGTTCAGAAACAGAGGACTGCGTCGGGACGGTGGTCGTGGTCGGGGACTCCTGAGCAAGGCGAGGCAGGTCTGAGGGACAGCTGGCCTTGGGAGAGCAGAGGACCCCGGGGTCGGCCGGGGCGGCTGCGGACAGAGCCCCTGGAGCTTGCTCTGAGCCTAAGCAACCTGCGGAAGGACACGAGCGCATGAGATGGGGCTGGCTGGCAAGGCTGAGTCGGGGAGTGGGGACACGAGGCTCACCAGCGGGCCGCAGCAACAGCAGCAGCAGCAGCAACAAAAGGGCGCGGGTGTGGATGGCGGCAGACGTCCGTGGGCGCTGCCCGCGGGCCCGTGTCCCGCACCTGGGCTCCATCCCGCGGTGGCCGCGATTGCGCCTCTCCACCGCGCCCTGGTGCGCGCCCCGGATGGCGCCCCCGCTTGGCCCCACGCAGTGGCCTCTGGCGCGGGTGACTCAGGGCGCTCCCGGTGCCCAGCCTGCGCGGGCGCCCCCCAGGGACCGTCCTCCACGGCGCTCCCAGTGTCCGCCCGCGAGGGCGCCCCTAGCGACCGGCCACTCTGTCGCCTCCCAAGCCCTACTCTGGCCCGGCGGGCCGGCTGACCGCCATGTTTCGGGCTACGCCCGCCCTCCTCGGCCCCTCCTCCTCTACCTCCGCGGGGCCAAGCAGTTTTCTGGGGTCGTTCGACCTAACCTCGGCCAGTTCCTGGACCTCCCCAGCCCTCTGCCAGTTGCCCTGGACTGGTTCATGCTGTCACCCTCCATCTCATGTAGTGGAATGAAGACCAAACCCCCGAGACTCTCCAAGTGGCCCCATCTTCCCTCCAGCCTGGTAACGACAATGGGACTTTGCCCCAGCACTGAAATTAAGCAGATTAACCTGTTTTAAGTAATGATTTGTAAAGACTGTATCATTTTAAGCTACTATGTGCCCCCCACCTCCATTCAGCAGATGTCCTTGCTTCACCGATCCGTCTGTGTACTGCTTAGGAAAGGTGGCATCGGCGAAGGGATCGTCCACGGAGAAAGAGTGATGGTTACCACTAAGCCATTGTGGGAGCAGGAGGTCACTTTGCATGTTAGCATTTTGGTGTTTCAATGCCACAGACAGATAATACATTTAAAAAGTAGTCTGGGGGAGACACTCGAGCTGTCCATTCCAGTCTCTGAAAAGACAGCACCACTCCCTTCTGGGGCCCCACGGGGCAGGGTGGCTGGCTGCTCTGAACCTGAGGCGTCCTGAGCCTGAGGGGCACCCTCACTACCTCACACAGGGAGCAGGGCTCCGTCCTCAGTCTGGCTGGCTTGGGCCAGCCTTCTTTGCTCTCTGGAGTCCAAAGGAAGTCGCTGACAACATCTCAGGAGCTCAGGGTACAGTCACATCACACATTCACCATCCAAGCAGGCACTCTGCCCTGTCCCCACACCACCCACCCTTGCCAGGGAGGGAGGAGGAACTGGTCAGATTCTGCAGACCCTTAGGGGAGGATAGGAGACGTTGGGAGAGGCCCGTAGGTTCTGGAACATGGTCCACAGTGTGGGTCTGTGATCTGGCCATTGTGAGTTTCTTGGGAAAAAGCCAACCCTTGCAGGAAGGCCTGAGGGAAAGTGTTCATCAAATACCCAGGGCAGGGTTGTGGGGCCCTGAGGGATTGCTGGAGTGCTGGGATAACTAAGCAGGGGCTGCAACCCGTTTGGCAGAAGCTCAGAAAGGGGAACACTCTCCCAAGGTCACACAACAAGCACAAGACAGACATGGGGTAAGACTATTAGGGAAGGCTCAGTTTGAGAGGCCAGCCAGGACAGTGGGGTGCGGGACATTCTGAAGGGCTCCCGCCAAAGTCAAGAAGAAAGATGACGACATCAGTGGCTCAAAGTTCAAGAGAACCTTCACTGAACAACTGAAAACACAGTGGCTCTGGGCTCCTCCCCCAAGGTCACTCTGCTCTGCCATCCTGTGCAACTTCTGGTCTCTACTTCTCCTGGGGGCAGAGCAGAGAGGAGGAAGGCAGCCTCCAGGAGGGCCCATGCTGAAATCACAGCTCACAGGAGCCACAGGGAGCCCAAGGAGACCAGCAGGATGTAGCCAGTGAGGAAGATGGGGCTCAGGAAGGCAGGGCCAGCCCTACTGAGGAACCTCATGTCAGCGATCTGAGTCCTGATCCAGTGGGTGAAGTAGGAGGTACTGGTGTAGATGCCTGGGAACTGGCGCCGGCTGCAGCTAAAGCTCCAGCTCACAACTCCCATCTGGATCCAGGTCTTGTTCACTTGGCAGACAAGGGAGCTGCCAGAGTTAGCCTGCAGAGGAGAGGAAGGGAGGGGATATGTAGCATAAGCATGGCCTCAGGAGGGCCTCCTCAGCCTGAGCCATATCAGGCCCATGCTGTCCCCAAGGATGAGCTTTGTGACACATGGCTCTGCACTGGGGACCATGCTGACCTCTCTCTTCATTCTCCTGCCAACTACCCTCTGACTGTAATTCCCCAGTCCCCTCCTCTGTCTTCCCCTCAAATCTTGGTGGGCCTCCAAGGCGTTGCCCTTGGTTGCCTTCTTTCCTACAACCCTGCTTGCAGAGTGAGCTGTTTGAAATACAAACCAGCTGCCCTCTTTTTGTGCAGACATGGGTGCATATAGAACAATGTTACGATGACATATCAAAAGGTCATAGCTGTTATTTCTGGTGATGGTGGGTTTCTTATGATTTTTTAAAACTGTCTTTATACTCTTCTGTAATGTTGGAAAATTTTATGTCAGGAAAATAACTCATTATATTTATTTTTTAAACATAATGCAAACCAATATTTACAGGACGTAATCTAATAAAGAGTACATAAGACCCTGGAAGAAAAAATTAATAAAACTTTGCCTGAGAACATAAAAGAAGACCTATATTAACGTACAGATATACCATTGTTCATAGGAGAGACAACTTAAAACAATGTAAAAATGTCAATTCTCAGGTTCCTGCAATATGGAAGACAAGATACCCTAATAAACCTATTGCTAAAGATAACTAAAAATGTGGGATTTTAAAAAACTATCATTTTAAATGCATGGGTGAGCTGGCAAGAACTCTTAAAAATAACAAGCAGAGAAAGATTATTGGGGGAGGTATGAGGGTGTTCGTGGCCAGGAGATTACCCCATTGCCAGCTCCCTGACCTCTTAGCAAGGCAGGGACACATCCCCTAGAAGCAGCAGAGAGGTTTACATCCAATAGATTCTTAAATTGAAACTTTTAATGGGACGTGGTGTTTAATAACTGAAAGTGATTGAAAATTATGAACTCTGCCCAAAATGATGTTTGGGGGAGGGAGGAAGGTTTGACATAGGGTATGTGGGGGCAATTATTCGAAAGAATAAAACCATTTAATGTGAATACCTTAACAAATTGAGACTCCTCAATAAACAATTATAGGAGGGGATGTGGAGCACAATACAATAAACAATTATAGGAGGGGATGTGGAGCACAATATTTTAATTTAAATACACACATAGCAAATTAAAATTAAAATTAAAATACACACATAGCAACACTATGTATTTTATAACGATACAGACATCTTTAAGAACACGGATTAGAAAGATTTGAGTGGGTGTCTTTCGGGGCAGGGAGAATGGAAGATGAAGCTAGTGATAACTAAGCTGATGATGATGGTGTGAGGGCCCTTGCTTAAAGATATGACTGACTGGACTCTATAGTCCCAGAGAAACAGAGAAGAGAGAAAGAGAGAAAGGGATGGGGGGGTGAACAGAGAGAGAGAGAGAGAGAGAGAGAGAGATATCCATTGTATGTAGACATTATCTTACCACAGCAAAATAAAACCAGAATTCAATAACAAAATGTGAACCACTCCATCAATGAAAAACAAATTAACTTTCAAAAATGTTAAAGTAAAAACAGAATTAAAATCCACATATTGCATGGGATGTGGGCACACAGGAGAGTCCTAATTTAAAATACTTTTAATATCAAATAAGAGAGAATGAAAATAAATTATTCATTCTTATCATCAATTGTTTATCAGTGCACTTCAGCTCAAGATGCTTGAAATTAATAAAGACAAAAGGGATAATTTACGCATTAGAAAGGAGAAAAATCATAGATTTGAGAAATGAAATCAATAGCTTGTTCTTAAACAACAACAACAACAAAATACATAAATACCTTGTAAGTCTTACCAAGAAAAACAGCAAAAGAAGGAAAATGCAAACACTTATGGTTTGAGTAGAAAAGAAACTAGTACCACATTCAGGGAAAATTTACTTTCTCAGAATCTCAAGACTATTTACAACTTCCTCTTTATTGATTTAAATTCTGCATGAAATGAATAAGTCCTAAGAAAATGCAAATCGTTTAAACTAATTTAAAGTTAGACAGAAAGCCTGACAAGTCCAATCACTATAGGCAAAAGAACTTAAAATATTGCCCAAGAACAACCACTCAAAGGAGAGCAGGCCGATATGGTTTCACAGGCAACCTCTATCCAATGTTCAAGGAGGAGATAATTTGTTATTTCAAATGTTCCAGAACATGGACAAATACTTTTCAAGTGAAGCATAGTCCTGATGCTATCATTTGACAAAGGGGGTGCCTTCAATTATCCTAAAGTGGAGCCCAGCCTCAGTGGAGGGCAAAAAAAATAAAAGGGCATGGATTGTGCCACGTGGGACTATTTGTTCCCCAAGGCCAATACGTTTCCTGGCCCAGTGTTATCCCATGCCTGGCCCAGAGCCCAGCACACAATGTCTGTTGGATGAATAAATAAATTAAAACATGTTCTAAAAAAAGATATTATGAATCTGAATACAACAGATGAATGAAATAAAAGTACACTGTGACCAGGGAGGAGTAATCCTGGAATGCAGGGTGCACGGACAAGAGGAATCCGTTCAGAGAACTAATTCAGCACACAGAGTTAGAGCATGGAATCATCTTGATAGCTGCATAAAACACATTTATAAAGCAGAACATTCATTCCTGAAATACAATGGCATTGCAAACCAGAAGGGAACGGCTCTCCTCAACAGACTGTATGCCAAATTAGCACCATGAAATGCTTCATGATGAAGTGTGAGAAGCACTTCCATAGAGATCAACAACAGGAGAAAGCATAGCTATGATTCCTGGCTTTTCTGAGGAGAGGGACCCAAAACAATGAAAAAAGCAAAAACAGAAATGAAAGAGGTGAAATCATTACTAACTGCAGCTCACATGAGTGTAGGCCTGGAAAACCTGAGAGTCAACAAAAAACTTCTAGATATAATAAAAGAGTTCAGTAAGCTGAACTCCCAGACACTTTCAACAAGAGGATAACTCTAGGGGATAGAAATGAAGAAAGTTAAATTGCAGGAAGTCCTGGCCCTGCTGAGGAGGCTGTAGACATTGATTACCTCTATGTGATAATTCAATTTTAAGTATGCATGTGGAAAATATAAGGTGACCAGTAGCAGAATGAATATTTAACTTCTAAACCACTAAAGGAGAAAAGTAGAATGAAGAAAAATGAATCAAACTAAAACATAAAGTGGGGGAACAAAAGAAACCCGTCTTCCTGGTAAATGCATTAAAGGACAGTCTCTCAGATGTGTTGAGAAAAAATAGCTTACAGCTTTATGTTGTTTACAAGAGATACAACCAAAATTAAATGACATAATGTCTCCTGGGAGACAGTAGTTTTTCTGCAATATAGTTCCGGACATCTGCAATCAGACAAGGAAAAGAAATAGGTGTACACGTTGAAAAGGAGGCAAATTTATCATTATTTGCAGATGATATGTCTCTGGTCCTACGAAATTAAAGAAAATCAGCCAGATCCAGAAAGGTTGCTTATTACAAAGTGAATACACAAAAATCTATAATATAAACAGAAAATATAATGAAAGAAAATATACTGTTCACAATAAGAACATAATATATAACATCAAGGAATAGACTTTAAGAAACAGCATGCAGTAACCACATGGCAAAAGCTACAACCTCCTGCTCTATGAACATAGAGAAATAGAGCAGAATAAAAGAGGCGGTTTTCCCTAAATCTCTTAATTTCCACCAAAATTCCCAAGTGGATTTCTTTTTGATAACATTATTGTAAGATTGTTCATTTAGAATGAGTGTGGGAGAACAGCCAGGTAAAGGAAGAATAATGAAGGAGGACTTGCCTTCTTTTTTGCTACATACAAAAAAGAATTATAAAACTGCAATAATTTAAAAAGAGAGGTGGCGGCATAGGGATGAGGCTGTAAATGACAGAAATACTCCAATATAAGATGGGAATTTATAATACAATTAAAGGGGCATTTCTAATTCATAGCCACAAACATATAAGTATTCAACAAAAGATTTTTACATAATGTGCTACCCATCTGGAGAAAAATAAAGCTGCATTCCCTCTCTCTACCTTCTAGATGAATCAAAATTAAAATGCTTAAAGAAAATCACTAGAACATGATGAGTAAGTAATTTTTTAATCTTAGGGTAGGAAAGGTATTTCCAAGAACGGCCAAAAAAATCCTGAAAATCATCAAGGGAAATAATAAGACACATGAGCACATAAAAATTTTACATAGGCCGGGCGCGGTGGCTCACGCCTGTAATCCTAGCACTCTGGGAGGCCGAAGCGGGTAGATCGTTTGAGCTCAGGAGTTCGAGACCAGCCTGAGCAAGAGTGAGACCCCGTCTCTACTAAAAATAGAAAGAAATTGGCCAAACAACTAAAAAATTAGAAAAAAAAAAATTAGCCGGGCATGGTGGCACGTGCCTGTAGTCCCAGCTACCTGGGAGGCTGAGGCAGGAGGATCTCTTGAGCCCAGGAGTTTGAGGTTGCTGTGAGCTAGGCTGACGCCACAGCACTCTAGCCCAGGCAAGAGAGGAGACTCTGTCTCAAAAAAAAAAAAAAAAAAAAAAAAAAATTTTACATAATTCTATGGGGAAAAATCCACACCAAAGAAAGGTAAAAGATGGACAAACAACGTAAAGTATTGTAAAGCATTTTACAAAGTGTTAACACTTCCAGTACCCAAAGTTTTGGAGTAACTTCATTTCAAAATAATTTGAGACTTACAGAAGAGTTGCCAGTATAATATTTTTACCCAGATTCACTAACTGTTAATGTTGTTTTACCATATATATTTTTTAAGATACAGGGTCTCACTCTGTTGCCCAGGCTGGAGTTCAGTGGCGCAATCATAGCTCACTGCAGCCTTGAACTCCTGGGCTCAAGCAACCTTCCTGTCTCAGCATCCCAAAAGCTAGGACTACAGGCATGAGCCACCGTGCCTGGCTCCTATATTTGTTTTGTAGTGTCTCTCCATATGTATGTGTATATATATACACATTATACATGTGTTTATGAACCATTTGAAATAAGGTTGAAAAACACATACTGCTCCTCTACCACTAATTACTATAGCATATAATATCCAGAGTTTTTATAAATCAATAACAACAAAAGTAGTTTAATAGAAGAACATGGCCAAAAGATATGGGAAAGTGTAAATGGTATATTGAACAAAGCAAGCATTTTATTTGGACTCCCTTTGTCCCTTTAACATTTATTTAGAAGGTGAGTTATTTCTCTGATCCTGGGCAAAGACTTGAGCAGAACCAGAACTTTTTGCTCACTGTGATTAATGTAATCACAATCACTATAATTGCGTCAAGCATCACAAAAACATTTCAGTTCAGAAATCAGAAGATCCATTTCCACTTAATAATCACAATGTTAGACTTGATCTAAAGGAAAACTCCCCACTGCCATCTGGGACTTTGGCAAGCAGGAAGCCTGCAAAGGGAGAAGAGAGGGCTGCACTCTCCCTGTCCCTCTAGCTTCCACCCCTCCTACCCCATCTTGCTACCCTGGTCTTCTGCACCTGCCAAGGTTAAAGCAGAAGAGTGAAGAGGAGAGAACTGTCTTAACCCTCTCCCGGCCACTCGTGCTCTCTCACAGTGCAGGGGATTTACAGCTGCCTCTCTCTCTAGGTTCAGGGCACACATCACTCCCTGACAGCATGCTCTCTGAGCAATCCCACTGAAACCACTTGCAGTAGACTTGAACTGTGGGACAGCCGCCCCCCATCCCCTTAAAGGGAGAAGGGTGAGCTCATAGGAGCAGTTCTCTCCAGAGAAATCCTCACAAAATCACCTCCTGCTCTATCCCCTTGACCCTTTGATACACACATAGTGGAATACCAGTTACACAACTCTCTTTGGATTCTGATACTTAATGTATTTTGGTATCTTTGTTGAAACTTCCTATTTAATATCCCGTTACAGAAGTAATTTACAGAATTTCTCCATTTCATGACATTACAACAAAAATAAGAATGTTATAGTCTACCAAAACACAGAAGTTAATAGCTAATGCCTACTGTTGGTGATGATGCAGGAAACGGCATTCATATACTGCTGGCGTTAATATAAATGGAGTAAATCTTTGGGGAGGCTAATTTGTCAATATCTATTAAAATCCAAAATGTATATACAACTCATTTTGTAATTATACTTCCAAAAATTTACTCTAGAGAAATGCTTGAACAAATGTGAAAAGATAAGTGAACAAAGATTTTTACTCTGGTATAGTAAAAAACATACTGAAATGAGGTCAAATGTCTGTCACTAGGAGAATGGTTAAATAATTGTGACATAGCCATATGAGAGAAGTATTATTCAGCAGTTAAGGAGAATGAAACATATTTATATGTATAGACATAGAAATGAGTCCAAGATATATTTTAAGTAAAAAAATGTTAAAGTTGGAGAATAAAATTATATAACAGTCTTTTGTTAAAAATAAAAACCAGAAAAAAAACTCTAAGACTTATTTAGGATTTTATATGTACAGAAAGAAATGTTAGGGAAATAAACTAAACAATCTAGAGTAGAAATTTCGAAGTAGTCCAATTATAGGGAGGTTTCATTTTCTAATTTTTGCAAGCTATGTATTCCTCTCTTTATTACAAAATGTGTGCATTTCCTTCCAAAATCAGAAAACATAATATTTTTAAATAAAGTAATGGCAATGGAATCACAACAGTGAAAATTAAGAGATAAATTCAAAGTTTAAATCAAAGGTGATTTCACAACCTTAAATGCTTTAAACACAAAACAAGAAAGAATAAATCTTTCTGCTCAAGAAGACATAAAAAGAAAACCAAATCAAGCCCAATTGAGAGCAGACATATTAGTACAGATAGAAAATTATGAAATAAATGTTAAAAATTTTTGTTGCCACTGCACTCTAACCAGGCAACAGAGCAAGACCCTGTCTTAAGACAAAAAACAAAAAACCCCTCACATACGAGGCCACCAAACAAGTCTCAACATATTCCATATAACTGGTATCACTGTAGAACTCACTTTATGACTATAAGGAAACTGAGTTGTAAATCAATAACAACAATAAAAATTTGCATGGGTCAAAAAGGAAATAAAAAGGAAATTATATAAAATATTTAGAATTGGATGACAACAAAAATGCTACATATCAAAATTTGTGGCATAAAGCTAATGCAATATTTAGAGGGAAATTTGTAGCCTCAAATACTTGTATTAGAAAGGAAGATCGAAAACAAATTATCTAAGCATCCAACTCAAGAATTTAGCCCCTGTGTACGTAGAACCTTGATATGTGAGAGAGATGGAGACTGGCAGTGCAGGAAATGACTTTTACAATGAATGGCACTGGGACAATCGGTAGTCCACTTGAGGAAATAAATAAAAATAGATTACTATCTTACAGCATTCACAAATGAATGCCATGGGGATTCAAAATATGAAAATTCAAAATTTCCAAACTTTCAGGAAAAAAATATAAGAGAATGTCTTTATGATCTTGGGAAAAGGAAGCATTTCTTAAATAAGACACAAGCATAAACCAGAAAGGAAAACATGATATATTTGACTAAAATAAAATCTAAAGTACTGTTCAGCAAAGGACAATATAAACAAAATGAAAAGATAAATTGAAACCTGGAAGAAGATATTTGCAATATACACGACGAACGTAGAATACGTATCCAGAATATTTAAAAATAATAAAAAGAACAAGGGAAACACTAGAAAAGTGTGCAAAGTATATGAATAAATGATTCATAGAAGAGGAATCACAAATAGTGAATAAACATATGAAAAGATGCACAACTGCACTAGTAACTGAGGACACTCACATTGCAACCACAGTGGGGTACCATCTCTCATTCACCAGAATGGAAAACATTTTCTCGTCTAATACTAAAGCTGTCAAGGATATGGAGCAATGGCACTCTCACACAGAGCTGTTAGAATACAGATTAACTCAATCACTTTGGGAAACAGTTTAGCAATGACTATTAAAGATGAAGGTAAATATAGCCTACGACCCACCAGTTCCATGCAGGGTGCATCCTGTTGAGAAATTCTGGAACAGGTAAATAGGGAGATATATGTGAGAATATTTAGAGCAGCAGAATTTGTGATATGGAAAAATTGGAAATGCCCTCGATGTTTATAAACAAGAGAATGGATAAATCATGGCACATTCACAAAAGAGAATATTATAGAGCTATTAATTAATGAATTAAAGCTGCATGTATCAATGTGGATAAATCTCAACAACAATGTTGAATAGAAGATGCAAGCGGCAGAAGACTGCCTGCAGAATCAATGCCATCTATGCAAAACTGGTTCTGCTAGCACCTGGCCCAGACGCTGGCATGTGGCTGACATTCAGAAGTGTTAAATGACCTGAGAAGTACTACCATTATTACCATTGTGGTAGACAGGGACAAAGAATATTTCGTTCCTATTTTATGGATTGGGAAACTGAAGCTAAGGGGAAGGAGATTTTTGTAAGGTCTCCCAGTACCATGTGAAAAGGAAACCATGACCCCTGAAAGCCCCCTCCTTGCCCCCAGACCACATGCTCCACACCTGACAAGTATCTGAGCCCCATTCTGAGCTGGCACACAGCAAATCCTTCCCAAGGAACTTTTGGTCCGCGGAGAAGAGGAATCGGTACCGTTGACTGCAGATTTCATTGTTTATGATCTTTACGGCCACTTCCTGAAGACTGTAAGTCAACTTTGGGTTCACTGAAGAGAGAGAGAGCCTGCCTCATCATCCTGCCAATTTTTCAGCATATCTCCATGTCAGAGTTGCCACATTCGCTACTGTGGGAGGGAGGGCCCCTTCCTGGGATAGTGATTTATAAAGGCCAGGGCCCACAGCCTGAATTTCAAAAAATCCCCAGCTCATTAAAAAGACTAGGCGAAAGTCTTTTAAGGGGCTTGGAGCAATATGCAGGCACCAGATGAGGACAAGGAGAGATTTCCCCAGTAATTCAGGTTCTATGAGAGTGAGGAGATAAGCACTGCTCCACGGCCACCAAAAAGGTGGCAAAACCCTAGAGTTCAGAGTTGTGGCACCCCCTGGAAAGCATGACCCCAAAAAGGCTCCCAGATTCTAGGACCCCAGGGTAGCACCAATAGGGGCCAGACCTCTGGGAATTAGGGGTGGCTCAAGGTAACTGGTGAGAGTGATGGCTAAAGAGGCCTCCTCAATGCCTCAGTATCTCCTGAGGTCATGGCCCTCATACCACCTGCAGACAGGGAGTCCCATTAATAGCCAAGGATTAATTTTCTGCCATGCTGCAGGGTGAGGGCTTGGCATTGGATTTAATTTAGCTTTGGAAACTGAGGTCCATGCAAGCCACGTGTGTCTATACACTACACTACTGTGTATATCTTTGTATCTGGAGGTCAGGATAGTGCATGGCACATGTAGGTGTTCGGGAAATGTTTGCTGGCTGAGTGAATGAGTGAATAAAGGAGTGAACAAATGAGCCCATGATGGGGCTGTGTAATGAAGAGGCAGGTGTCTTGGAACCTCGGCCTGCCTTCACTCACCTTTTCCTGTCATTCCCCACCCGATCACCCAGCACATGTTTCCGATGTGTGGCTTGAATCTGGTGTTGGGGAGGCAGACGGGCTGGACCAGGGGGGACCAGAAGATGGCGTCCCTGAGCTTCAGGAGGGCAATGTCCTGGGAAATGCGATTGTCGTAATCCTCATGAATCACGATGCGAGTGAGCGGGAGCTGAGTGCCATTTTCTGGGAGGTGCTGGACTCCCACCATCACGGAGTACTGTGTGGGGTCCTTGGATCTGCAGGGTCACAGGTAGGAGGCAGATCGCCAGCAGTAAGGCCATGAGTGGCTAGAGAGACAGGGGCTGAGCACGGGCTACCCAGCCAGGCCCCCTACTCCCAGATCCCCAAATACACCAGGGCCCCTCAGGCTGGGAAGCAAAGTCCCTGGGCCAGGCTGGCCACCCTGACTGACCTCTCTAAGCAGTGCGCGGCTGTGAGGACCCACTGGCGATGGATGAGAGAGCCGCTGCAAATGTACATGCCCAGGAACAGGATGCTCACCTGCCATGGCCACTTCCCTACCTCCACCATCTTCCCCTTCACCATCCTGCAGGATATGTTGGTGTGACCGCAGGCCAGGAACCAGGCCCCTGAGGAAAGAGACTCTCAGGCAGCAAAGGGCTGCCCTCCCACCCCCGTACACAGCGGACTGTTGAGGCAGAGAGAACTGCCTGCCAGCCCTGTCACAAGCAGCCACTGCCATGTGCACCCATGGGGAGGGGCTTTTCCAACTTCCTTGAAACTGCAACAAGAGACCCAGAGGCAGCAGGTGCCCCACATTATAAAGAGAGTCCCCAAACAATGGGGACCAGAGAGCCCTTCAGGGCTTGTTAAGAGCCATGACACAAAGACTCATCCCTGCCCATCATTATACAAACAGATGGCTGGGGGAGTGAAGAAGAGAATCATCAGCAGTGAGCTGTCAGCTGGGGGTAGGTGACAGAGCACAAGTGGGCAGGGCTGTATGTCTGTTGTAGCCAAAAGAAACAGACATAGATGTTGCATTGTGCAACCCCAGGCCCACCTTGATGCTGGCCACAGCCCTGGGGCTGGGTCTTTGTGATCGTACAGGGAAGTGACCAGAGATGCTTATCCATTTCCCAGCAGCAGGGGTGGGAGGAGAAGAGGCTGTGCTGACCTGGATATGAGACTGAGATTTTAAATTGGACCAGCCTGGATTGGCACTGGTGTTTAATAATTAAACATCATAAAGGATAAGAAAGGGAGAAAGATTCTACAGCAAGGATTGGAGACCAAGATTAAAGAAAAAATGAAAAAGTTTCTCATCCAGCCTGCTATCAAGTTTGGGCTAGTCAAAACAAACTGTTCCATGTGATCATGGACCTCCTCTTAGATGTGAAAGTGGACATGAATTTCCACCATCACAAGCTGTTCTGGTTACAGAAAGCGTTTCCCAGGGCAGCACGGCGTGCAGTGCCAAGCAGAGTGTCAGGAACCAGCATCAGCAGCCAAGGCTAGTCCTGGCCCCCCAGGTCTGCGGCAAGTTGGGGCAGTGGAGGGGATATAGGAATCAACAGGCAAGAGTAGTATCTACAGTGACCTGTGCATAGGAGCAGAAACATCTACCGGCCCTGGCTCATAGAAATCCCTCCAAGTGTCACAGAACATTCACGTTTGGGCTCATTAATCCTGCGTGTGCCAGGATATAACTGGCCAGTTCCCGTGCCACAGACTTCTGTGGCTAGATGCGTTCACCCTGCACTAGTGGCCTTCCACATGGATCACAGGCACCCCATTCTCCCTCACCTCCACGGAGTGCTGCCTTGCCCTGCACCTCACCTTCCCGTCCTCCTCCATGGCCCTTTCCGTCGCTGTTCTATTTTCTGTCTCCCCCAGGGGGAGCCACTCTTCCAGCCCTTCTCACTGTGGTGAGTACATGGCTGCTTTTCTGTTTCTGATGACAGCCTGCCCCAGTCAAGACTGATCCACACTGGGAGCAAGGAGAGGGCTTCCAGAGGCTTGCCCTTTCCTTGCCCACAAGCTGAGGCCGCACGGAGCCTGCAGAAGAACTTTACCACGTTAAAAAGTGACAGCCCCCGAGGCAGGGGTAGGTTTCACCTGGGTGCTCCCTACTCTCAAGTGAGCTCCTCAGAACTCACATCCAGGACAATGTCGACTCCAACCTCCTTTCCCAAAGCCTTACTGGGATTTGTAGGATTCGCCCCGGAGGTGCCAGCACCAAGTACATCAGCCAAATCTGGGGGGAGCCATGATAGATTATTTGGGGGTGCAAAGCATCACAGATCAACCTTGATCCAGGCACAGTGTCACCATTTCATACACAGTACTCAGGTTCAAATGGATTCCACTGCAGACCGCCTCCACCTCTTCTTGGAGTTCAGAGTCAGAGCACTCCACTTACAAGCAGTACCCTGATGTCATTTCCCACACTCACACATGGTCACAGGGAGACATCTATTGGCCGCATGACCTCTGTCCCCGTAATGTCATGTCCCCACACCCATCCCACATCATTATAGGCACAGAAGTCCTCTATGTGGAGCTGCACACATCCTCGCCACCCCAAAACATCACGGATGCCTGAGGGCAGCACAGCACAGTTCAGAGTAGGAAACGACCCATTCATTCATTGATTCATTCACTCACTCAGTCACTCATTCAATGAGGCACTAGTCCAGGAGGGGGAGTCACACAGTGATGGGGGCCACATCCCCATTCACAGATGCCACCCCAGCATGTTCTCTGCCAAGCAGCAGAACAGGCAACTGACAGGTGACCTGAGTCAACGCTGCTACCACAAAATCACCTGTGGTAGTCAGTTGGGGTGGGAACCTGAGACCCTCTGTCACTTGGGGTCCCAAACTTTTCACCCCCAAAGAGACTATTGAAAACTGGTATTGAGTCCTGGCTCCACCACTCACAAGCCACTCGTAAACCCTGGCCTTCCTACTGTGAAATGGGGTCACTGGTAAAGCTCCCCTCACAGAGGGTTGAGCTGTAACACTGTCTCAACAGGGCCTGATAACAGAGGGGACACTCACATATCACTACGTCATCACCACAAGTCTGGTTCTCCTATGACTGTGCCTCCCAAACAAGCTCATTTGGATGTCAGTTTGTTCCCCCATTTTTAATAAGGCTCTTCCCTCATGTGTTCATGGTCACCCTGGAAATTGGAACTGCCCCGACACTGTATGGGTCCCCAGTCTGCTGAGGATGTACCCATCAGGATCTGGACAAATGGAGGCCCTCAGGCATGAGGACAGCTGACACAGGCACCCAGGCAAACAGTCCCCCTCCGGCCTCTGCCCTATGCCCCTGAAGCCCTACCTTCAACATACGGCTGATTTGCTAATCTGGCAGAAGGAACTGGAGATGTGAGAAGATCCCCTGACCCACACGTCATGGCAAGCAGATGTCCAGTCCTCACAGCTCCTTATAACCAGAAGGGAGGAAGGGGGAGGGGCATCTCCACTGCTTGAGGATTCTAGAACTCGTGGTTTGTTTATTCAGGACAACAGGGAGTGGGCCTCTGGCCCAGGGCTGGGGACTTACCTGGCTACGGCAGCAGCAAGACTCTAAGAAGGAGGCAGTATGGTCATTGCAAGGCCCTGCCAGGACCTCATGTGATGCTGCTGTCAGGAACCTCCCTGGAATAGGGCTCCTGGTGCCTGGCCTGACACAGTGCCTTCTGGGCCCAGCTCTTAGCACTGCACCCAGTGCCCAGCCTTGGCCTTGATGGTGCCCCTGTGCCTAGTTCTGAGCCTGTGACAGCACCGAATGTCCAGCTTGTGACACTGCCTGGTGCCCAGCCCAGGCTCCTTCATGAAGCCGCTCTGATGGCCTCCTTGGAGGTGTGGAAAACAAGGCACTACAGGGGGGTGACAAGTTCCTGTAGTGCGTGGCTGAGGCGGAACTGGAGTTTTCCTTTTTCCCTCAGGGTGTGTATTTTCAAGAGAACAGCTCCTGGGTGGTGGGAGTCCAGGCGTGTCTGGCCTGGGAAGGTGGCTTCCTGAGAGGAAGCAGCTTGTAAGCTTGGGTCTTCATGAATCAGCAGAACGAATGACATCTTGGGACACCTCCCCACCACTCCACTGAGGATCCCTCCTCCCAAAGAGCCCATGCTTCTCACACTGTCATGAAGACAGACCACTTCTGATGCAGCCCGTTGTCAGTGCTGTCAAGGATGTGGGGCAATGAGGTGGTTCACGCACTGCTGGGGGAGATGAATGGGCATGATCACTGCAGAAAACCTCTGGGAATCATTTAGCAGAGCAGAAAGTGTGCCTACCCCACAAGCCATGGCGCCACTCCTGCATGTATGCCCTAGAACCAGCATGCACGTGGCAGGAGACATGCACAGGACTGTTTGTAGCTGCACTGTTGGGAAGAGCCCTAGTTGGAAACTACCCAATGCCACCCGCGGTGGGAGAGACGCACAGAACCCTCCACAGCCGTGAGAATGGACGGTCTACGGCTCACACAGCTGAGGTATGACACTCATAAACCTATTATGGGTGAAAGAAGTCAGATACAAAAGGGTAAAGACTGTATGAAATTCAAAAACAGGCAAAAGAAATTAATTTTAGGAATATTACAGAAAATCAAGGAAATTATTAATATTATCCCTATAATCAGATTCCCTAAGAAAGGGGGAGAGAGAAAGAGGAGAGAGAAACTCGAGAAGAAGAGAAACCCTATCTACTCTTCTGCCTTTGTGGAAAATAATACTTTGGAGGGAATCAATCAATCAATCAATAAAACAAAATAAGACAACTGAGTAAAGACCAAGCACATCTGTGATCACAACCAGTGTAAATGCACAAATTCTATTAAATACTTTTAAAAGACAAAGATTCTTACACTAGGTAAAAAAAAAAAAAAAAACCCACTCAGATGCTACTTACTAGAGACACACCTAAAATAAAGTGACATAAAGAAGGTGAGAGGATAAAGATGGGCAAAAACATTAAGTATATGCAAGGAAAAGTAGCAACGGCAATGTTCATCTCTGAAAATGATTCAAGACAAATGACTTAAACAGAAAAACAAGTTATGCTGAAAAAAGACAAATTGCAATGATATATAACGTCATAAAATTCTGTCCAGTAAAATGACATCAAACATATAAAGCAAAATCCATCAGCAATACATAAGAAATCGAAAAACCTCACTTGTTGTGGCAGAGTCTCCTCCAACTCACTGTGACTTTGAGGGATGGAATATCTATAAAAATCAACCGCATATTAGACTACTCAGAAAGCCACAGTAACTTCCCTAAATGCTGAACTAGTGTGGGTCACATTTTTTTATCATGATGCAATTAAACAACGATTTTAAACAATGATTTTAAACAAAATAAGCCAAATCATTTGAATATTTAAAAAATAAACCTTACCAAATTAATTTGAGGAAATAAATACACTCTATAAATTATTTAGAAAATGCTAATAATTAGACCAAAGCATTTTAAACTTCTTGGGCGTGTCCAAGGCAAATTCATAACCTTAAAGGCATTTATAATTTTTTTTTTTTTTTTGAGACAGAGTCTCACTCTGTTGCCCTGGCTAGAGTGAGTGCCGTGACATCAGCCTAGCTCACAGCAACCTCAAACT